CCCTCAGATTGTGAGTCGAGCGCCTTAACCACCTGGCCATGCCGGGCACCTTGAGATATATCAGGCAGTTAATTGCTTGGAATGGGTGGACTCGGGATCTATCTGTACCACACCTGATCCTGAACTTGGTGTGAATGACCACCTGAGACCATCATAAGTGAGCTGCATCACTGATTTTACCTTTAAGAAGAATTGGGTGATTTACCAGATTGGGTTTAATACTAGAAAGAGGAACAGCACCAAGAGACTGGCTGCCTATGCAGATGATTGGCTCCTTCTACCCAGTAAGGTCTACCTAGCAATGGTCTCGATAGACCAAGAGGACATCCTCAAAGATCAATTTATTGAGGGACTGTCCAATTAACTCATGAGGCAGCACTTGGGAATAAGGGACATCATTATTCTCACAGAGGCCATGCCTATGTTTGTCATAATATTTTTAAGTCATGACAGCAAATAGATTGCTAGAGAGAAGAAACTTGTGGCAGTGGCTGCTAACAATACTGATGACAAAGGTGAAAAACAATTGTTTCTATCACAGTGGTCCAAACCCACCATTCAAAGGGATGCCAACCAGCCACTTCCAAAATCTGGCAATGTGAGACAACCACACTAACCTCTAGTGAATGGGGAAAGCTGCACAAGTCCTCTCATGGAGTACATACCACCACCATACCTGTTCTCGAATATTTTCCACAGCAGACATGACCTATTCTTTCATCTGAACTTCATTTGAGATGGAAAGAGTGACGTACCTACTTTGTCTGAGGACAAATGTAGCACTGGTAGAGGAACTGCTCATATTCTTCTGCACTGCTAAGATGGCAAGGCCACCAAATCCAGACAATAGCACAACAACTCACAATATCCCCATTTTGCTGAGGAGCAAAGTGGACAGAGATGCTGGTACCACCCAATGATTGAAGTTTATTGGTGCAAAGCAACAGGGCTATCTGTGCACCATGCACAGATCAACAGTTTGGGGATGACCAATGACAAGCATTTAATACTGTGACAAATACCCTGGAAAGTAAAGGAGCCCAAGTTGGGGGACCACAGTGGCCAGCCTACACCAAAGAGTATAGTGGTCAGCCCAGCTCTGTAGACATTGAAAAGTGGGAACTATAGCATATTTTGCAATCTTCCAAGCCCTTCAAATGAAGCTACAGCTATGGCCATTGAGCATGGATTTCATTTAAGGAAATGGCAATAGACTAGATGTCAGTGGAGAGGCACATCTCTGTCTCAGACTTGGAGATATTTTCCACAGCACAAAAGTTGTTGTTTCTTTTCTTTGGTCCAAAATATGCATTCTTGGGCTGGACATACTATGATGTTCGTCAGTCAGTTTTGCATGTGCAATGGATAACCTGATGTTCCAAAGGAAAGCCATCTAATGGCACCCAGATTTAGCTCGGAAACAGTGGACCACAAGTGTGAATGTTGTGAAGGGAATTATAGTTCTTCCATGTGCACAAGTAGTCCCCTGTAATCTATTTCAACAAGGTCTGATGCTTGGGAACCATGTAATATGGTTTTAGAAATCATGCAAGAGATAACTTGGGCAGAGACCTGCCCGACAAAGTATAAAATTGCAATGTTTCTTTGCATCTAATTGGACACAGGTATGGTGAGTGAAGTGGAAGTAAACAATGCTAGTGGAATTATTAGGGTCATATTTAGTATGTCATAACCAAAATGAAATACAGAGCTACCAATACACCTGAGGATGGTGGATGACATTTATGCTAACAATCTAAACCCAGTGTAGTTAGAGTAACTCAGTGACTGGTTAGGTGAATATATAAATGTTCTTCTAGGACCAGATGGCCTCCTAGGCCAAACAATGGTAACTTGACACCATATAGACATAAGTGGCACATGTCCAATACAGCAACCACTGCACTGAGTTCCTCGGAGCTCTAGGAAAGTAATTAGTGCTAAAATACAGTAGATGCTGTAGGAAGGCGTCATACTTTAGATACTTTTGCAACTACTTACATAATTGGAAGTTCACCATGGCACATTGGAAAATAATGTTGCAACAACACGACTTTGTCATAGTTTATTGCCTGAGTCTGCAACACATAAATGCAGATTGACTATCTTGTCACTCAATGAGACCCTGCCCATTTCTGGAATGTCCTGATTCAGAATACTGTGTCCAAGTTAAAACCACCACTACATCAGCCATTGCTGCAAAATAGCTAAAATAGATGGTTTCACTGAAGAATGGATTCCAAAACTGATGTTTCCAGAGCTGAATGATAATCATTTGAAGAATCCTGACTTAGTGTTGCCACTCTTTGAAGTCAAACATGGACAAGTCCACCTAGCACTAGTGGAGGAGTGCACATAACTTATGGTACTTATGTGGACAATTATGAATGCAAAAAGGTGTGATGTACCATTTATGCTACCCTGAGAGGTGGATTGCACTGGCAGTGCTGCAACTAATGGTTCCCAGAACTCTGTAACAAGAAATACTTTACCAAGACTGGAAGGCATTAAGGTGTGACATGCATTTGTGGTAGTATCCAATAGCAGTTATGATCATAATTAGTCAAGATGTATGGCTCTGGTGCAAATGTTGTATGGTGTGTGTCACCCAAAAGGAAAACTGGCCAATATAGGGTAAACTCTAACAGAGAACTGCTGGTTCTCCTCTATAAAGGATAGGATTAAACATCATCACTCCACTCGTGGAGACTCCAAGGTGCCATCACTACATACTCATTAGCATCAATTACTTCATGAAGTGTGTCAAAATGCATTCTTTGCCTGACATATTATCATAGATGGTTGCAGACATGCTAGATAAGAACCAGATAGCATGTTCACAACATCAGAGGAGATCATCATGGACCAGATGACTAAATTCAACAGCCAACTATTCAACGATATATATCAGGTGTTAGGTGGGGTGAATACATCTTCACTTTATCACCTTCAATATGATGGTCTGGCAGAATGTGCAATGCAAACTACCAAGTAGTTGCAAACTTTGTTGAACCTGATGGAACTGACTGGAACAAGCACTTGTCATATGTTATGATGGCATATAAAGTAAAAGAACAGGTATCAGTGGACTGTTCACTGAATTTACTCATATTCATTTGGAGATATCACTCCCTATGAACATTAAATATGGTCCTCTACCACAAGAAAAATTCTTCCAGTGCTCTCAAGAGTATGTAGAGTGTCTATATATAGGATTGACAATGGCTGATGTACTCAAGTTTGCATGACAGCAACCCAGGAAAGTAGCACAGCAACAGAAGAATTATTATGATCAGATGGTTAAGAGACAGACATTCAAACATGGGACTTGGATGGACTGGTCTATATTTGGTACTTCAGTAAGTTGGTCCCTTAATGTATGAGATAAAGCAGACATGAGGCATGCAAAAGAGTGTGGATCACATTGATAAGCTGTGCCCATACATCATAGATGAATCCTTGGTACACTGGCTCGACCAGGAGACCAACAAGTAAGAGGACGAAAGGGATGATACCTCGAGTCATCATGACCTGTCTTACAGTGAAAAAGAAGAAGACACTTATCTGGCAGTCTTTGAGGAGCCGAGTGAGAATCTGGAATTGGAAGTTGCTGCTTGTCCCAACCAGTGGTCAAAATGTCAGCACTGGCCTTCCAGTTGGTATGGATAGGACTGATATATCGATCTTCACAGTCAGATAGTTGTAAGATTGCTGATTGAAAACGTGTAACAACCTTTGCTTTCAGAGCCCCAAGTAGTATTGCAAAATACCATGTATATGGTACTCTGTATGGTTACTGCTCGGTCTTAAAAGCTAAAATGGTCAGGTATTTGGAAAGTTACCTAACGAATCAAGGAGTGTGTTACGTATCTACGTCACAGATTCTCTTTTCAATTTCACCTTTGATGAAGAAGAAAAGAAATATGTAACATATATATATATATATGTTACAGATTTTTTTGGTCTAGTAAAAATTTAAGGCTTCATAAAAAGTGAAAATTGTAAGGGGCGTAACACAACACAATCTCACGTTTGTATTCTGAGAACAAATTGTCGCGTGGTATCGTCAGTCAAATAGTATAAATACAAGTTTTCTTCAAACTAAAGTGAATGAGCGCAGGGCAAAACAAAACATACCAACCAAGCTGAATCAAGGTAAAGTAAGTAAAGGTACGAAGCCTCGGCCCTGCAGTCCTTAGTTCAACAAATAGACACACTGTTTTTATGTTGAAGTTCATAATAAAGAATATTCATTTCGTTTGTTGTACTTTGTTCAGTCTCTTTGTTTCATTTAACACCATCTAAATTAGTAATCATTTAAGTATTACTCCGTGATTCCATATCTTGAACGAATCTTCTATTCAGAGGAATAAAAGACATCTCAAAACACCATACACACAATTTATTTTTAAATAATGAATTTGATATAATGTGAAAATATAAACATGTAGGACTATGTATTCCTTAAAAATAACAATTGAGCGAAAACCTATAAATCATATTAATGAATACTGTTACAAGTACGAAAGATGTATATAACACAACACTGCTTTGAAAGAGTCACGTTATAAATATATAAGTACCAAAGATGTCTATTAACACAAAATTGTTTTGAAAGAGTCACTTGTAACTATTAAATTAATATTTTTAATAACTAACTATATAAATTAATTGTAGCTGTGTAAGTTATTTTAATTTTAATGAACATTTCTGACATAAAGCTATTTATTTTGTGTGTAGATAATTGCATATCAATTTTATTTCTAAGGTACGTCACGATATCATGTGGTTATCCTGAAAGTCGTTGAAAAAGTAGTTCTAAAAAGTATTAATATTTTAATATTAAATTAATAAGTTAATCCTGTTGATTTGAAATTTATCGTTGTATTTTGCTGTTAAATCTCACATGCTTAAGGTACCCTCATTACATGCAAATTTGTGCCTCGACGAAATAATCTTTAGGGGCGGATAAGGGAATTCCCGAAAGGTAGTGAAGAGGCTTATTTCGAGGGTGTAAAACAAAAGTGGAAAAAATTAGGCTTAACGGTAGAATTCTTTCATGTATATGTTATAAGTTATATTTAAAACTAGGTCCTATACTATTACTAATACAAAAGTAAAATAGGTAAGAGTAATTTTATAATTATATTTATTAAAAGTCAGGATTTCATGATTGCCATATCACTTGTGTTTTGTAGTTGAGCGCTGTTGGTAAAAGATTAACAGTAACACTACATAAAAAGTGAGTTGTTAAAGGCCCAATGCAACAAAATCTTTGAAAGTGGAATTTGGAAGTAGAGACTAAGAAAGTTAATGCGTGTCTAAAATCTTACGTGAACTAGTCTAGAACTTGGTTTAGATTCTAGTTTAACTAGGTAGTCATTACTCACATAAGTGAGTCATAAGTGGTAGAGCAGTAACGTAATACTAATAAGTCGAATTGAGTATTAAGTTTGTATTAATTACTAACTAATACTAGTATTAGATAAACAGCATTGTTTATTTATAACAGAAGAGGACACAGATAAACGTTTCAGAATTCTACAGATTTCATCTTCAATATCTAAAGCAAAATAAAAGAATTACATCATTCCCAAGTAATTAAGTAAAATACATTGCTAAAATAACGATAATTTAATAAAACTAAAATATATATACATGGTAACATAATTATATATATACACACACAAGGGGGAATTGGACTTGTTTTGGAAAAAGAAACAAATTCTATGTGTAAACATAGAAATGACAAAGCAGCTCAAATAAGTACCCAGTACTAGTACTGCCTTAAAAAATAAATTATGGTACTGAATACCATTGAGTACTGGCAGAATTTCACCCATTTAAACAAAGCTTAACTTTAAAAAACAAATGTGTAATTAATCGATACTGTCTCCAAGTTTATTTCATATTAGTTTTTAAATCAATATCTCACATACAGGGTTTTTTTCCATACTAAAGACCTTCACCCACTTTCACTTTTATCCTAGCTTGTATATCTTTACATGTGTGGAAACTGTAATGCTTCCTATATTGACAAAACCAAATGCTATCTACTAGTTAGATTCAATGAACATATGGGAATTTCCATGAAAAAAAAAAGGCTGAGTAACCCCTGTGTTTCCTCTGTATGATAACATAGTGAAGAAACAGGGCATGAACCTAACTTATTAAATTTCAATATCCTTTCTATGTGTGTAATAACATTTAATGTTATGTGTATTGATTTTTTTTTACACCTTCATTTCATACAAAATATAGAGGTTGGCTTCCTAAAGACACAGATTGTATGGTGTACAAAGCATTGAGTATGTACATGTTACAGTCATCTAATGTTCATCTATTATTGGTTGACATTTGTAAGAAAGCAAAGGGCTAATGATGACATTGTTCAGTGCTGCCCTCTATATACAAAAATGTGGTTAAAAGTAAATTATTTTGTTAATAAATAATGTACTTGATTTAGATTTGTTTCATAATACAATTAAGTTGTCAGCAACAACTTACATGATACAAAGTAACTTCATTAATAACTAGAGGGGCACTCAGTAGAGCACATTCCTCTGCCAAGTAGTGTTGATCATATTCGGCCATCACAAAATAGGAAATGTGTCCATATGTCCGTCCTTATCAATGGACACAGACCATTTTTGGCAGGACAATGAGGAATAATGTTCTACATATGTCGACAAAGTTTCATCCAAATCAAATCATTATAGAGCAAACATAGTTTAAAAAAAATCGGTCCCCATATAGGGATTTTTTAAATTTTCATGACCTTGCTGTGACCTTAACCCTCCAAAAATTAATCATGTCTAAGCTGGGTCATAGTCCAAATGTATACCAACTTTCATCCAAATACATTTAGCCATTTTTGAGAAATCTTGCTGACAAAAACAACCTCTGTCACCTTTCGTGGTGGAGGTAAAAAAGTGCAAGTTACAATGTCATCAGTTTGTGTAGGGAACCTTGATTCTCCTAGAGTTGTTTAGGTTTGTGCAAAGCAGTGGACTGTTTTTACTGGCTGGCAGCTAACTACTTGTTACTGACTAGGCATTTACACACATATAGCTGGTGTTAAGTCATACTGAGTCTGTGCAACAAGGGCACCTGGCTTACAAATTTATAGATCATTAGACATTTAAGAAATTCATTTTTTTTTATCTTTTTCGTGCATAACATGTGGTACAACTTATTTGCACGTGAAAACAGTATTTCTATATGCTAGACATTTTTTATCAGTTGCCATGGTGATCTGGTAACCCTATTTTTGGAGTTCTGTTCAAGGGAAGAAAGAGTTTATTTTTATAGGCGATGTGATGTAATAATTATGGGAGCTTTAACTTTACACACATTGATTAGGATTTTATATAGTCAGCGAGCCAATCAAGGATGGATGTTTTTTGAGATATTAACAACTCGTGAGGATATGGTTATGAGAGTTGGAGTAGAGGGAGCAATTAAGGAAGTGTATATTACATAATTAGATTTTATAATGTTGAAATAAAAATATATTTTAGTTAAAATATTAGTTCCCAACTTTCAGAAAGTAAATTTTGAGGCCACCAGATAAGTTTTATTATTAATGTATTGGAACAACTAATTAAAATGTTAGGTGAGACAGGTTTGGGAAATTTTTAGAAATGATCTTAATTTGAGATAGTTAGGTTCATAAAAAGGGGAAGAGGATAACAGAGAAAATTAAACACGGTTGACGTACTAAGGACATAAAGGAGAAAATTAGGGTTAATATCTGAAGTGTACAAATTTTAGATTAACTTATTTAACTTTAGTTGGAAGATTTACAGAGCTGTAAGATTTGGCTAGAGATTTGGTTGAAAAGGAAATTAAGAAATCCTAAAGGGTTTATGAAAAACAGCTAAATTATAATGTTAAAACTAACAGCAAGGATTTTTTTAGGTGTATAAAGTTAAGCAAAACTTTAGAATGAGAATTGGGTTCTTACAGGTTGCTGATGGTAATGTTTTTTGTTGTTTTTTTGTTATTTTTGAAAGCTGTGAGATGGAGTTTCTAAATGTTTTCTTCTGTTTTTGCAAGAGAAGCATGATAAACTGTGATTGGTTAAAAATCAATATTGAAGTTAGAAGTTTCAAATTGGCTCTGTTTTGTTCAAAACTGTTTTGATTTTCTTTCTGTGAGACTATGAATGCTATGTTATTAGCAGAAAAATTTGGGAAGCTTACGGACTCTAATATTGGTCAAAGCATGCTGAACTCAACCCAAAATGAAAATTTACTTAATATTTAAACAAAAAAATGTATAAAACAGACCTTGACAAAAATTTCAGATCTAGGATCCAGCCCAAAAACTCGGGAACCAGGTGTGCCTAACCTAACTTTGCTACTGTTTGTACTGGGAAATTTATATTTATTTACTGTCACAGCAATAAGTGCATGCTAATGATGACATGTTGTCAACAACTACTTGATAGTATTGCCTGAACTAACTGCCTTTGGTCCCATCTGAGTCTAAACATGCACACTGATTGGTTGAATGGAGAAAAATAAGAAAAACAAAATGGCACAAAACTAGTAACGTGTTGTGAAACCACAGCACTTCATTCCCGAAAGAACATGAAGTAGTGCTGGATTCGCCATTAAAATCCTAGAAACAAAGTTAAATTTAGGACTCAAAGAATGCAAAAATAGTTCTGGACTTTCAAGAGTCCAGAACTGTTCCAGATTCAAGTTCTATTTAGCACAGCCCCATGCATGAATAAAATGGGAGAAAATACTAGGCGGCACAATGAAATATTTAGTCGCCATGGTGTCCAGGATTTGTCGAGTCCTGGTATAAAATAAGATAAAACTTTTTATTGATTTGTCTTAATATTAATGAAAAAATCAAGTTCATATATAATTTCTAAAACAATAGGTTGATCCTTTATTGAATAGAATTATACTGTTATGTATCTGCTTGCTTGTTAATTTCCGGTTTAAATACTTTCCGAGGAACTTCGGCGATATGAGTCCTTTC